TATGGTGTTTCTGCTGCATAAGTTGTTGCTGACAGACCAGTTTTTTTTTGTTGTTGTTTGTTTGTTTGTTTTTAAGCACGTTCAACCCAAATTAAGGCTCTAAAGGAGCTTTTATTGAATTTTAATGCTATCTAAATGTCCTACACTCAATACAAAATGAGCAGGGGAGTGTGTACACAACCCTAAATTATGTAATTAATTACACTACTTAGCCTAATATACAGGAATGCATTGCTTGTATTGTGGATAACAGACTCCAAACACACAGGGAACATTCATGAATTTGAAATGTGCGATGATACACTTGAAACAATTTTGTCTCTCTGGTGTCTCATTATTAAAAAACAAAACCTGTCAAATTTGTCAAAGTTTTTGTTATCAGAGATGTATTAATGTTCCTTGTAGGCTGGCATTTGTCATGAAAATAAAGGGTTGTTGTCCAACATTTATCATCATTCACAGTCCACCATGGTTGACATGACCTAGGTCCTGCAGTCATCATCACATGGTGGACTGTGGATGGATGGATGGATGGATGGATGGATGGATGGATGGATGGATGGATAGATAGATAGATAGATAGATAGATAGATAGATAGATAGATAGATAGATAGATAGATTTAAGGATCTATCTACACTACTTAGCCTAATATACAGGAATGCATTGCTTGTATTGTGGATAAGCGCCTTTCTGAGCACACAAGGACACTTTACAGGGCATAAAAACACAGCTAGAAACATAATTAAAATAAATAAAAACAACATACAAGTGTGAAAGTAGACAGTTAAAGTGAGTATGCAATTCGGAATAGGTGTGTTGTCCAACATTTATCATCATTCACAGTCCACCATGGTTGTATGACCTAGGTCCTGCACTGTGGATGGATGATGGATGGATGGATGGATGGGATGGATGGATGGATGGATGGATGGATGGATGGATGGATGGATGAGATAGATAGATAGATAGATAGATAGATAGATAGATAGATAGATAGATAGATAGATAGATAGATAGATAGATAGATAGATAGACCTAGGTCATACAACCCCTAGTTCACTACTGAGGCATGATTCTACTCAAGCTATATCTGATTAATGACTACATGTAACAAATTTAACAGTGTCATTTATTATCTGTGGGAAGCACAGTGGTGTAGTGGTTAGCACTGTCGGCCTCATGGCAAGAAGGTCCTGGGTTCGAATCTGGGTCAGTGTGGAGTTTGCATGTTCCCCCTGTGTCTGCATGGGTTTACTCCAGGTACTCCGATTTCCTCCCACATCCCAAATACATGCAGAAGTGGGATTAAGTTAATTGGTCACTTTCAAATTGCCCGTAGGTGTGAATGTGAGCGTGGTTGGTTGTTCGTCTCCAAATGTCAGCCCTGCAACGAACTGGCGATTTGTCCAGGGTGTCTCCTGCCTTCCCCTCCAAATGCTGGGATAGGCTTCAGTGGAAATGGAAAAAAGAATTAGAAAATGGATCGATTTATTATCTGTTCCTAAAAATACCCAATTACCATGCAATGTCCATGACATAGGATCCTTGCAAAAAAACTGCATTTATTGATTCAAGTCTTAAACCCAGTTTCTGTTGAGACTTCATGGCCCGTGCACATGTGCACAGCATATTTATAAAACTGTGGTAGACCTGCTGCAGCTCCATTCTTGCTACCCTGTGTGTCCCTGTGTTTGGCACGTCGAGCAGGTTAGGAGGTGTTGAATGATATCTTTCACCTCTCTTAGGACATGAATAGTGCAGTGAACTTGCCTGAGGTTGTTTCAGAGCCCTCTTTGCAATTGTACACATTGTGTGTCTTGTATGCAGCACAGCTTGTCAGATAAGATACTGCAGCATCAATACTTTGTGCATGTTACTCCTGATTTAAAAGAAATCACAACAAAAGCATGTTAGCTCATCATTCAAATAAACACACGTGTGAGAATGCATGATCGTGTGATGTTTTTAATAGGAGTGCCTGTACTCACATGCCTGAGCACCAATGATTGTGTTATCTGTGCAGCTCTGCCGTTAATCCCAGGATCAATAATAGCCACTCTTTCATGATTGCTTCTCAGTGGCCTCGATCTGTCACACAACATCATGTCAGAGTCAGCTTTCACACCCACACACACACCCCGAACATTTTCTGTTTATTTTAAGGCTGTGAAAGAGAACAGATTTGAGTCATGCACAAAATATAGATTTTAGACTCAGCTTTATTCATGTTTATGAAATTGTGAAATTTATATTCCTTTCTGTCATTCTTCACTTTGAAGCTGATTTCAAAACATCTACATCTCTGTCTGTTTTTTTGCTGCACCATCTTTCAAGGCACCTTGACAGTAACATTGAACAGAGAAGCTTGCACATTGACTTTCCATGCACACACTGTCTCTGGCAAGGCCAGAAATTTGTCCTGGCACCAGTGCAACTTCCAAGTTCTCAAACACTTACATAAAAGCCTCTTTGCACTATAATCACTTGGATAGGGTTGGAAGCGAAAAAGCCACCTGGCAGGCTTTGCACTTTCAAGATTTAGCTGACCAATATAAAAAATAAATAAATAAAAAATAGATGAGGATTTAGAAACCTTCAGACTCCAAACAAACCATCAATTCATTCGTCAAGTCAGGGAGAAGTTAAACAGATGAACAAACATGCTGTTTCTTGTGTTATAATGAAAGTAATATAAATCCCAGATTTCCAGTCCTGTGAAAAACTGAATGCATCAGTTTCTCCTTTAAATCCTTCTTTCCTCCTGCCTTTGTCCAATGTTCAACTCACATTCATATTATAAGACAGTCTTGATGTGCTTGTAATATCCAAACATAACAGTCTATGACTCCATGTTTGGTTAACACTTGGCTAATATCACTGCTGCACTGGGATCCATTATCTTGGAATGGGCATCATAACTGCCTTGGTTGATAAATTACGTGGCCCACTTTGGTGTATTCATTGCATAGCCTGATTTGTGTTTGCATATCCATTCAGCCATAACCTGTGCTAAGCTATAGCCATGCTGTGCTAACAAAGCCCAGTCTATGCCATCACCACACATGCAACTTTCTTCAATAGCTACATCATACCAGGGCCAGGGCCACAATAGCTTCAATTTTTCCAGTTGCTAGGATTGCACTAAAAGTAAATAAGACCCTGTTAATGCTACTAGTTTGAGCCACAGACTCTGGACTACCACAAGCAGCTCAAGGCATCATGGTGATTGCCTGTCTCAATTTCCATAGGTGTATTATTATTGCTTAGTCTGTGTCATTTAAAGGCATGGTTAAAGATTGGAGAGATTGGTAATGATTATGAACCTTGTTTATATGGTCATCATGGTCCTATAGTGCGATCCCCACAAAGTGAAGAGAAAAAAGAATGGCCCTCCCACTCTCCCAGCCCTTCTTGGAGCTCTGAGCAGCTAAAAGTAGCATAGCAGCTTAGCAACAGGAGCTGTGGTGGAGAAGGACGCTAAATAAATAAATAAACCACTTCTCCTTGCCCCACCCCCAAAAGTGCTAAGAAAACACAAGCCAACAGAAGAAAGGGCAGAGACAAAGAGGAAATGCGACCAAGCGAGGAAACTAACTCGAATAAAACAGGTCATTCTTCGAACGGTGGAGAAAGCTCCGCCAGGATTTTGGCCTGGAAATAGATGCCGTGACAGCAGAGTTTTTGTTGAACAGATAATTTTTGCCTTTTATTGTGGCACATATTAGTCTCTGCAATGTCAACACAGTAGCTGTCCAGGCAACTACAGACAGTGCTTGCTAGCAGAGCTGGTGTTTACTACTGCTAGTCACTAGCAATCTGACATGGTGAATCCTATTTAAAACTAGTGTAGGATCTTCTGCAGGCCGGCTTCTTGCTCTGCCACAGGTGTGTCATGGGGAGGACGATACAGGTTGGGGGGGGGGGGGGGACACAGAGGGGAGGGGTTTATGTGTGGGGGTGGGACGCTTTTTTCAGTTACACTCATTGAATATCAATCCAAACAAATGCTGTCATAATAAGCTTGGTTGGTATCCAATACTAACTAACACCCTACTGTGTAACTGTCCATTATTAACTTGTTTAAGGGATCACAGTGAGGTAGGTTAAGACATAGGCTAAGGTTCAAGCTCTGTGTAGCTGAAATACTTAAGAATAAATGACTGTCGCTCTGTATAATTAAGCTAATTCATAAACTGACAAGCAGACCAAAGGCACCACTTGCTAAAGGTTGTCCTCACAAAGCTTGACACTTCACTTTCTAAATTAAATGGATTTCTGCCTTCACCCAAGCTGAAAAACTTCCAAACAGCTGCAGCAGCACTTCTCTTTTCATTCCTCTTTGCTTCCTCTCACAGTGGCAGATTATGCATAAAAAATGTGCCAAAGGGGCCAAAACAGAGCTGTAGCACTAAACTATAAGTGGCACCGTGGTGAACCAAAGTCCACAGCTTGAAGAGCCTTAAGCACTTTTGGATTCCTGATATAATACAAGGATACTGTTCAGGCACAAATGCTTAATAAAAAATGATCTGTTGACATCTTTCGTGGCATTACGTATATCTTTAATTTCATAAAGCTTTTCTTTTACGGTAAAAACTCACAAATCTCCCAGTGTCTGTCATCAAGCCCAGCCCTGTATAGATAACAGACCTTCCTACTGCTCTGAGGCAGCTGGCACCAAGCCCATCTCAACCTCCTTCACATGCACACTCTGCTTCACACCAGCTATTTCTGGTTCTCTCATTCTGTATGCTCCCCCCCTCTCCCTCCTCCTCTACTCTTATCTCTTTGAGTGTGTGGGAGTGTGTCTTTCGCACACATACACACACTCTCTCAGTTCTTGGCAGTCTTCCTGTAGATTCATCATTAATTCATCCAATTTCTTAATGTTCCTCCTCATATGGCCTCACTGTCCCTACCTCTCCCACCACCCACTGGCTCCTCTCCACTCCGAGATTGAAGAGCTCCTCTCTTCTTTATTGCCTTCTTTCTCAGTGAGTCCTTCCATAAAATCAGATGACCAAGGCTGACGCCTTTAGGAGAAATGGGTAAGGATGTTTGAATTTTACTCTTTCTGCACCTCAGACCTTGTTGGAGCACTTTGTATGGATGCCCATTTACAGTATCTGCAAAATGACCAGAATTTCAATTAATAAATAAATAGAAAGGTTGATCAAAGTCACATGTTTGAATTTGCATATAAACTCATCCATGCACACCAGTTAGCAAGCTTGGAACATAAAATTTAAGATATTACCAGCGTCTAAAAGTTTTAGATGCACCCAAAACTTTACACATGGGTATGAAAAAATGCTGTAAACTAAGAATGCTTATAAGAAATTGGAAGTGTTCATACTTTATTTTTATCAATTAACAAAATGCCCTGAACGAACAGAAGCGAAATCTAAATCAAATCAATATCTCTCCACCCCAGCAGAGTTGGTCTGTTTCTCATCCAGTTTTAAGCCTCAGCTGTTTATGTTTTAGTTATTGACTGTGTTTCAATCTACATGTGACATTGATGAGCATTAGCACGTCTGGTATAATTGGTTGATCATACATCTGACTACAATCCAACAAATCCCTGACTTTTTGCAAGTGCACCTATAGGAATGCTGGTTTGAAGGCAAAGGGCTGTAACACCAAATATTGATGTGATTTAGATTTTCATTTTGTAAATTGATCAAAAATAAACAATCAGTATTTATATATTTGTAAGTATTCTTAGTTTTTAGCATTTTTGCACCTGCCTAAAACTTTTGCACTGTACTGTATGTCCTAACATAATGTAGTTGCAAGCATTGAGTGACTTACAGTGTTTTTACCTGGTGATGAGTGGTTCATACAATCAGATAACTGCACACTTCATGGCTGAGAGAGATAAGAACCGAAACCATGATTGAAGAACTTCTTCCACACAACCCTAAAAAAAAAAAAAACCTTTGTAGAAAATTTCAAGTTCACCTCCATAGCTGGTTCCAACCCTGGACTCCTGATGGCAATGGGCTAACAGCTGCTTGTATGAGTCCATTTGTTTTCCATAAAAAAATATTGAAGCTCCAATGAGGCCTTTTTTTTTTGGTGTTTATAGAATAGACAATAGACATGCCTTTATATGATAAAATCAGATAAGATCATTAGCACCAAGATTGATGTTTTTTTATACTGTAATCTTTTATGCTAGAAATTTCTGAAAGGGGGTAGGTGTCAGCTAAGCAACTGGAGAAACAGCCCTATTTTTACAATTTCCACAAGAAAATATTCACAATTAGTTATACATGGGGGAAAGAAAATCATAGGCTGCTTTGTCCACTGGGGTTGCCAAAGTTGACACAAACTGAAAGTTTCTCACAGTGGCTTTAAGGTTTGTACTTGGGCTGCTGTAATGTAAAAAAAACAAAACAAAAACAAACAAACATTGAAATTGTGCAAAAAATTAGCATAAAATAATACTAAATAGAAGTCATTTCCATCAGTTGCCACATGATATAAAAAAGAGGACTGGACATGGGAGAAGTAGCAGACAGCTAGCAAGGTAGCTAGCTTCAGCAGCACACTAAAAGATGATTAGGCACCTCTAAAAATTTGTATTTAGGATTTATTTTGAATCTAAAAATAACGTTTGAGCCATTGCCTCTTTGATTTATTCATCTTTAAGCAGTTTTCATACAGTTCTGTATCTGTAGACTAGGTCCTCTCTGAAAAAATCTTGGTCACAGGCTTGATGATAAATTATACATTTGAAAATAATTTGAATGTAAGTTCATTTTGTTAATTAGTCAAGTTTTTCTGTGGAGGTAGGATTCAGGGAATCGTTGATAGCTCATAGAATATATACAAATGTGTATCAGTAAGGAAGCAAACTGATGACCTATTCTCGATGTATAAAGAGGAAGTGGGATTAAATAAAATGTGTCTCTTCTCACCTCTTTTAAAAATGCAAGCCTAATCATTGGGTGTTTTTCTATGTCTCTTTCTTTCTTTCTAAAATTATTTTGCCTTAGTTTTCTGTCTTTCTTTTTTGCATGTTCCAAAGTAACATTTCAATAGTCTTGGGGTAAAAAAAAACTGCAATCATGACAGCTCCACTATTATTTTAACAGAAAATATTTTTTTGTTAGTGATGAAAATGCATATCCATCTTTCAGGTACATCTAATTCATCAGGGACACTAGATTAATGTGGTTTATAGAAGGTGAACCTTAGAGAAACATCATGTTATAATCAGTAGTCATTCATGGTGTTGTAGTTTTGGATAAGTGGAGCCGTATAGCAGTGTGAACTATAGCACACCATTTGATGAGTGTAATAACTGTAACTAAATCCCTTGGAGTATTTATTAGTGAGTCAGAGCGTTTGAGCATGAGCTGTTCAGATGGGACACAGGGTGAGAACGTAATGTGAGACTTTGTTTTCGCACTGCTCAGCTGACCTTGGCTCTGATGATCTGCTTGGAGACAGAGGAGAGGGGAATCATCAGAAGGATGAAACACAGGAGGGCTGCAGGTTTATCTCTCTCTTAATACAGTGTCACATCTTGTTTGAATAAAAATTCTCATCAGGCATGGACAGGCCATTGGGCGTACCGGGCAATGGGGCGGAGGGCTTGTTGTTGTGTGTGTGTGTGTCACTATGGTGACCAGAAGGTGACCAGAAGATTTTCGGGGACATATCCTGTTTTGAATGACCTGCAAATGTCCAGATTTCAGCATTGTACGATAGCGCGTCTATGAGAACCCCACTTATTACCTTAGCCACATAGGAAGCAGAAAGTGTTGCTTCAAGTGAGTCATTTGCATGAATGAAGCATGCTAAATATAGACACAAAACAGCAACAATCAGTTTGATAAATCACATTGCGGGTGATAAATGATTCCATTTGCATCTGCTCCTCCCAGTATTTTGATCTACATACATTCTGCATATTCATGATGGCAAACATACTAAATTGATTGGCGCGCTGTTTTGCTCATTTGAAAGACGCAATCCTCTGTGCACCTGGTTTGTAGATCAGGTTTGCGTGCACTATCAATTTTGCACATGTTTTTGCACATGCAAACATTTAGCAGATCAGGCCCAATGTCTGTTACTTGATGCAGATGTGTGTTCTTCCCAGTTTTGTAATCCTCTGCTTTTGAGTGTGTTTTTTCTTTTCTTTTCTTTTCTTTTAAATGTATTTCAATGTGCTCTGGGTGAATATTTTGAAGGTAGCTTGGAGAAGAGCTCTAAGTCCTCTGCATCAAAATAAGCCAATAGATTTGGTTCAGGAATCTGATAAGGTTGCCTCCAATGCACCTCCTCATAGAGGTTTATCGGGCAAGTCTAACTAGGAGGAAGAATTACACATCCCACCTGGCCAGACAATGTCTCAAGATCCTCCTGGAGGGGCTGGAAAACATTTCTGGCAAAGATTAGTGGGCTTCCTTGCTTAGCCTGTTGCCACATGGAAGAAAACTAATGGAAATGTTTGGATAAATCAGCAAACTATGGTGTCTATGTAACCAAGTATCCATGTAGCAAACTTGATGTTTATATGCAAAAAAAATAAAGTCCATCAATATGAATATAGAGCCCCAGTTTTGAACAAATGAAGAAATTAGCTTCATAAGACTGGAGGATGCATAGCTCATTTCTTCTGTTGAGCTGTTTGGTCATAATACTAGATATTATACAATTAATGATGGCTGAAGTCCAAAGCGAAGAGTAGACATTACAACAAGTAGAAGGGCATAAACAGAGAAGAAGGAGCAGCTACAGCAGCAAAGTTAGAGAAAGGACAATGCAGACATTAGTCTTGGCCAAAATAACAAACAGAGCTGCAGAGGAGAAGAGGAGACAAAATGGCTTTACAGCTCTTTCTAAAAGTAGCACAATTCCTGCCAATTTTCTTCTACTTCTTCCTGCTGCTTTCCCCTTGAGGATCAGCTGAGAGGGAAGTGAGAGACTAAGTGTCCTGGAGATGGTTTTCACTTGCAATAATGTGTCGAGAGAGAGATTTCTGTCATCAATAAGCTCTTATTCTCAGTCCAAAAGAACTACATTGGAACATTTATTGAAAAAAATGTGAATGCTTTTATGCTTCAATGTCATAAAAGTCTCTTTTGCCTACAGTTTGACATCACACCATCTATATAAGAATCAAACACTAGCACAATGTTAACCATTAACCAGTTGATTTTTCTTTTCTAAATAATTTAACCATGCATCAAGGACTAAAGCAGCATGTGCATGTTGCTGTCTTAAAACTGTAGTCACCACTTTTGGCTACTCATCTGATCTTATGCTGTATAAAGATTTTCAAGCATGAAGGTTAATCTCAAAAAGAAATCTTAATGCTTCTGATGCTTAAGGCAGAAAGGCAATTTAGTGAAAAAGCTCTAAGTTTTGTGAATGTAAGTGCAGCCCAGAATACTCAGCCTTTACATTGTCTGATCAGATTGCATGTGCTTTAGATATCCGCACCACTGTTTTATTCACTTGCAGTACATTTCTGTGTTTTGATTTGGGTTATTCCATGTATTTTTAACTTTGCATTGTTCAGCAGCTTATGTTTACTAATAAACATCTATGTACCAGCAAGAGTGCATTTGCTTTCGTTATCCGCTGCACGGATTCAATGATGGATAAATTTTTCAACATTTAGATATTAATTCTCTGCTGCCCAGATCTGTGCAATTACTGTATTGCAAGAACAAAGGCACATTGTACAAGTCCTGTCAGTAGTTTGAGCTATGCTGCTTCACTGAAACTCATTTGGTGTTTACAGTCTCAATAGTACTCTCAGGATAATTCCGAATTATATGATACCTTTTCTTTCAATTACTGAAACTGGAATAAAAAGGATCTTGCCTGGAGCCAAGGGAGTGAGGAGGTCGGATTACCTGGTAAATTGTAAAAAACCTTTTCTATCATTTGATCCCACCGGTTGAATTGGCAGGGATTACCACAGAAATTACCGTTGAAGCGCAAATGAAGTGAGTAAATACTATTCATTCACGTGTCTAGATTCACGTGAATTAAGCGAGTACATTATTTAACTCACGCTTGGTGTGAGTGCCCCTTAAGAGTTAATGCTTTGAAAAAGACCATTAGAGTGGTTAGAAAAGGCCGCTGACTAATTTCTTACTCAATGACTTGATTTTTTATTCTTGTACCTTTACAGTACGGTATGAAAATTACATCCATCTGTTCTCCATCTGCTGTAATCACCACTCATACCTAAGTGGACGGCCCAGCCTTACAGCATGATATGTTCAGCATTAAGCTTTTCTGCCAGCAACCGCAACATGGAGACTGGGAGCAGAGTACATTTGTGAACGCCCACCCATGACATCAAACCAAACCTCAGTCTTTGTTACTCAAACCATGTGGAGGAAGTCTGTCTAGAAAAGAAAACAAAACAAAACAAAACAAAAGAAAAGGCAGACCTACAATCAAGTTTAAAGTCATTACATTTAAGAGTTTTATTTTGAAAAGGTCTACTCAATAAAGTTTTGTTGTGCACAGTATTTTAATTTATCATCATTCATTATTCTTGTTGCCTGAGCAAAACTGTAGGAGGTTGTTTTTTTGTTTTTATTAATGCAATTATTATTTTAATAAAAGGCAAGCATATGAAGTGGTCTAAATCTCTGCAGCACTTTTGACTGAATTAATGTTCAAATTAATGAAGCTCCTCCAGCAGGTTTAAGATTTGAGCATCAACTAATTACTAATCAACAAACCTGTGTGAAGCAAAACCCATTGATGTATTTAACTTTGATCATTTTGTTTTTATTTCTTTTGAATTAATGATTGTTTACAGGCCAGCAGTTTCATTTTCTACCATGAACATCTCTAAGAAAAGGACTGTGAAACAGTGAAGACAAAAGATTCATTTCAGTGGTCATGTTTTCTACAATTGCCAACATGAAGTTTTCTTTCTGTCTATCTTTCAATGTTTCCTTTTTAACACAAAAGAAGTATAGATGACTGCCAGCTGAGCTTCGCAGTTTGTGACCAGAGAAGATACCAAAAGTCCTAACCAAAGAGTCTTTGGTTTACAGACTTAATATTTGTCAACCTTTTTTTTTTTTTTAATGAAAACATGTTGATTTTATTGTGTTAAAGTGTAATTCCACGTCCATCTTTCTCCTTGTTTTCCCTGTCAATTGTTAACTTTTGTTGAAACAGGGTATGCATGTACAAAATACATGAACAGGTGCATCTTAAAGTTTATAGATATCATGAAAAATCTCATCCTTAAAAGATAAATTAAAAAAGGTAAACATATTGGTTACATGTAAAAGTGAGAAATTTTAACCTTTTTTTGCTTAAACTTTGATGCTTTGGGGTCATAGCTCATGAAACTAGGTACACTTAAAATACTGTCCATCAGACTGCAGGTATAAAGAAGAAGAATCAGTCAAAAATTTAAAGCGGGATCATCCCATGAAATTGGTGCCTTTTCAACTTAGAAAATTTAAAATTGAAACTGTATTTAATTGTTAATTTTTAAGTTGCCAGGAATCAAAGAATGTTTAAAATGACAGGAAATTATATTGTGCCATTTTAGGCTGTATTATTTCATATTTTATAACCCTGTTACCGGCATAAACTTAACAAAATACAGTATTTCTAATCAGAAATATGCAATAAATGGTACATATATTAGCAGTGCTTTAGTCTCTCTTTCCATTGAGATTATTTTATTTTGTGGATTTTTTTTCTCCAATTGGATATTTGCCATGCTGATGATCCAATATACCTTAATTTTGCATGGCGATCACATGTCTCAACATACATCAGATATTTTTTATCAGAGAAATGTCGAAAAATGGCCCAATCTAAAATATTATGTAATTTAAATTATAATAGTAAGTGTTGAAAGCCCATTTGAGCTGTCATTTTTGACATTTTTTATCAAATTAATGACAACAACAGGGATCGATGGTAACAGGGCTGACAGGAGTAAAAGTAACCAAACACTCAGTAACTGGCTCTCCACCGGCTTATCAATCAATCAATCAGTCAAAAAAAATAATTGTTAGCTCAATAATGTTCACTTGATGACCTAAAATTTTTTAATTTTAAAAGGTTAACCTTTAAAGTAAGTACAATTAGGGTAAACACTATTCTATGTCATCCCTGTTACTCACATGTCAAATCCTGTAACTGTGGAAAGGTAACAGGGTTGACAATTTTAAACTAATCCGCCTGTGGCTAGCTTAAATAAGTGCTAGCTTAAGTGCAAGCTAGGTACTTTAAAAGGTAATTACTTGTAGATATTGATTATATTTTGAGAAATAGAAAATTGTTTAGGTTTATATGTTAAAAAGTGGTAACAGGGTTGACGTTGTATGCTTAAACCTTGAAAAAACATCAAAAATAACACATCAGAGATGAGAGAAACTTAATTTTCACTGAGCTGTTAGCATCCTGGCTCAGAGATGATGTAATCATGTCAATCCTCAAATCTGGAATGTATCATTATTTTTTTAGGGTTTTTTAGTTCGGGTAACAGGGTTGATCATGAAATCAGGGGACGCCGATAAATTGGTATATGACTAATATATATTATAACCAAAAACAATGTTTAATAATAAGATCATACTTAAAACAG